GTGAAGACCAGGAACCTGCAAACCATTTTGTGCTCTTATGCATCACAGGGTAATCCCCCTTGAACGTCAGCCCTGGGGCCAACAGAGGCAGGGCTCTGACACATCCATCCACCAACGCCAAAGTGCCAGGCTGTACATGTTATGTGTGGAGGGCACCAAGGGCGTTGGAGGGTCTGGGGGTGGGCAACAGAACACATGAGAACTGAGATGAGGGAGAAGGATCCCCTCTTAGCCCCCCTTCAGGACCCTGGGGGCAAGCACAGCCCCCTTCTGCCACTACAGTCCTTCTCCTTGCACATTCCTAGGACTGGCGAGATGAGCTGAGCTGAAAAGCATGGCTCTAGTCCAAATCTGCATGTTCACCTGTCTACAGCAGTGTGTGCTGCTCGAACACCCAGTGCAGGGACTGCCGGAGGGTGCAGGTGCCCCCCATCTGCAGGACTCTCGGGCAGGCAGAGGAAAGAGCAAGCGGTGTGCTTACCTCCTGGTACAGGAGCCAGGTGCCACAGCAGAAGTTGCAGTTGCAGCCTTTCAGAAGCTGCACATCAAATTAGCACAGCTCACTGTGAAAGCAGGACATTGCTAGAAGTATGACTAGTAAGGTTAGTACCCTGGCCCAACACCTCTTTTCTCCACCTAAGATACCTATTGCCATTCCAGTCCTCCCTGCTCCATGTGCACCCTCCTACTGCAACTGCCCCTCTTTGCCACTGATTGTCATTGCCCCCAAATGCTGCCATGGGCAAATTCAGTAGCGAGAGTAGTGGTGGCTTCATTAAGATGACTTGAGGAAAAAAAAAGGTAGGATTACTGCTTTCAATCTGGCCACCACTTCACTTGCTGTTGTTACCATCGATTCTCCAATCCAAGGTGCCAATGGACATGCACCCACAGGCCAGATGAAATTGTTTTGCAGGCTAGATCCAACCTGCAGGTCATAGGTTCTTGAGCCTTGAACTAGAGCATGAGCCATAGGCGACTTGTAGAGGGGGCAGGGGGAGGGGGGGGCCGGGGGGGGAGAGGTATGTGCTTCCCCTGAGATTGGTCCTCGCCAGTCAGGGAGCGGGGGATGACTGCTGGTGCACTCCCCTAAAATTGTGTGGGCGCTGAGAAAAGCACCGATGGCACTTCCAGGTGTGCTTCTGGCACTTCTGTCAGCGGCGGCCATCAGTTGGCCACTGGCCACTGATGCCCCCCCAGTATAAGGAGGCACCAGTCGCCCCTAGCATGAGCACTTCAGTAGCATGCATCTTCATTACCACAGCCATAAGGACAAAGAAGAATGCAGGGCATTATACATCTCTTGAGGTCTATCCCTGTAACCTATTAACAAGAGAACTGACAACCAGATAAATGCCAGGCTAAGCAACAACCATGTGAAGGCCTCGTTTTTAAAGCTATCTGAAATCCTCTAATGTAAAGATGCTACAGCAAATTCAAGGTACTTTGCATAAAGTACTTGCTAAATATCAATTCCAGTGCTTGGCTTCTGAACACATGCACATTCTTCCACACCTAAATTGCATGTTAAAATACCATACCCAATTAGATACATAACTGGCTATCAGTGCTTGCAAATACTTGACTGGAACTTACAAGTATGGCAGGTGTACACCTAATGAGATCCTAAATAGAGGACACTGATATCAAAGGGAAAAATTCCAATCTTCTTTTGTTTTACCTTTAATATTTTCAACTCTCTTTAAGCTTTCTGCATGAAAGATTTCAATTGATGGTCTTCTTGTTTTGTGTGACATTTTAGGATTATAACATTCATAGATTAATATCTAAATTTGATAACCATTCAACTGCTTCAGGGGTAGCTGCATGGATTGATTTTAGATTGCCATTAAATGATCTAATTGGGCAATTATTCACAATATCTTGCACCGTCTGAAAAATTGCACCACAATTGCAACCTGCACTCTCTTTAGTTCTCCATTTATGGAGTAGGTGTCCACATTTTCTATGAAGTGTCCAGATACAATTCAGGGAGAACCAACTCTTTCTCAGTATGTTAAATCCTGGCTGGGGATTGTAGGATTGCTGACGATGTATTTCTGCAGCAGGTTGGTATTTGCCCAGGCTTCCCTCCATTGTTCTGCAGTGCTCTTATCATCACAGAGGTTTTTGGTGTATTTCCAGAAGGTTTTTCTAGATTTGAGCCTATCCGGTGGTGGCATGGTGATGTCCTTGTTGGTTGGGAGGTTTGAGCTACTGATGGCCTAATGGTATTTCCTCGTGCATGCAGCACCGCGGCAGAGCTGGGGACAGGGGGCATGTAACTGATGGTTACAGACATTATTAAATCTAGGCTCCAAAACTCTCTCTCTCAATCCTTTTATGCCAGTCCTGTAAAGAAATCTGAGGCCCGCTGTGAATGGGACGTAGCCATCAGAGGAGTAAAAAGCTTTCGTAAGAAAATGCCCAAACAGAACCAAGCGTGAATGATTTTCAAATAATTTGAATGCCG